AATATCTATTTAAGCTACATTCAGTTGATAGAACAAGATTAAAGCAAAATATCCATTTTAACTATTTCTTGTTTTTAAAATTAGGCTAAATGTATTTCATGTGAGTGTCAAGCATAGTTAATCAGAGAATATGGACTGGACTGGATTGATTGGTATATTAATGACACCAATTTGCCACAAAATTATAGACAAAAAGTTTCCTTCCAAAAATGCTGTAGAAGTATTTCTCAAACTTATAAGATTTCTCAAAAGCAGAATATATAAATTATCACAGTATTTGAAAATTATAATAAGTCACACAAAAATTGGTAATTGATCTTTGTGTATGAATCTACAGAAATCAGTCTGTAGAAAATGTTTTCCAAACAATGCTGACTTTGAAAATTGAGTCTACATTTTCCCTAAATGGACTAAAATTATATTAGGTAAACTACAATTCTGTCCATGTAGCTACAAATTTTGTGAATGCATTTTCTCGGTGTTTGAAAAAGAATAGAGGGTGGAGAATCCCAGGTGCCTTAATATAAAGTTTGAAGCTTCATCCACCAAAGTTAAATAGAGCTATTTAAAAATGCACTTTATTTGTATTCTGTGTGGCTTATCTTTGGTTTTAGAGTTTTGTTTCCAGTGCATATTTCAGGAGAATTTAGGCAAACGCAGAACAGACATGTATTTTTGTTTGCTAAACATAGAATGTATAAAACCATTGCATTCTTGTACACTGATTTGAAATGCTGTAAATACATCCCGATTTGTATTGATTCTCTTTAAATATAAAATGTAAATAAAATATTCCAATGAGAGTTTGTGCCTGATGTTAGCTGTCATGTACTAACTTTTCATATATGCTTGGATTTGGGGGAGAAATGGTTGGATGTAAATGCTCATTAGTATATTTGATCATTAAAAACTAAAACATTAGTATGATATATATTTACATATTTTATTACATAGATGGTGCCATTGTAATATAACTAAACCTACCTATGAATTATTTTTAAATGTCAGCAAGGTAAATAATGAGGTTGACCACGGGTAATATAAGATTAGAAAAAGACCTTGATGCCAGTCTGTGTTTCTACTACCCAAGACATAAGGCCATTTTTTTTTTACTTCAAAGTTTTCTTTTCCTTCAGCCTTGTCTTGGGCAGTATAATTGTTAGGATGCTGTTAATGAGTTAAGTGCATCTTCCTTTTATCAAACATGTTAAGAATAAACAGGTGCTTGGAATACCTCAGAATCATGATTATCAAACCAGGATACCTATATGTTTTATGTGGCAATATGCCAGGTATGTATGTGTGTGATGCCACACAATAAACTTGACCTATATTCTTAAAGAGTTCATTTCAAGTTTTGTGAGGGTTCTTTTAGGGGGGAATTTATAATTTAAATTTTAACAGCTACATTAAAGTATAATTTACATACCAAAAATTCACCCATTGTCAGTGTACAGTTATGCAGCGCTTCACAAATGCATAGAGTTGTGCAACTATCACCATGATCCAGTTTTAAAACATTCCATTACCCCCAAAAGTTCCCTCATACTCATTTGCAGTCAATTTCTGCTCCCATTCCCAGCTCAAGGCAACCGGCAGTCTGCTTTCTGTCCTATAGATTTGCTTATTCTGGACATTTGAGATAAATGGAATCATACAATATGTGGTCTTTTGTGACTGACTTCTTCCACTTAGCATATTTTCAAGGCTCATTCATGTTGAAGCATGCATCAGGGCTTCATTCCTGTTCATTGCTGACTAATATGCCATTGTATTCCACATTTGATTATCTACTCGTCAATTAATGGGCACTGGGATTGATCTCACTTTTGGGCCATTATGGATAATGCTGCTCTGAACATTCACATGCAAGTCTTTGTGTAGGTGTATGTTTTTGATTCTCCTGGGTATATACAAAGGAGAGGAATTCCATGTCACTTGTGAATTCTCTTCCTACTGTTATCTTTTGAAAAAAAGAACAGACTTTATTACTATCACATAATCTAAATATAAGCTAATTCCTTTAACAGTGGCAGTAGATATATGTGTATAGGGAGTCTCCAACTTAAGGAGGGGTTTTCTGAGAGTTTGTAATTTTAGCAGAAGTCAGGTTGTATTATAAATAAGAACATACATAGTTCCCTGGTAACTTAGTAAAAAAATATTTAAAGATACAACTGGAATGCTAGGAACATCCCTTCTTCCCCCCTACCCTACATCTAGTTTTTGTTCATTTTCTAAATATTTTAATTAAGTCCTACACATCTGGAGAAATTTTATTACCTTGGTTTTAATAAATCTTAAGTTATTTACCTTACTGTCTTCTACTGTTTGTAGTGAATTTTTAGAATATTTTTACACATTTTAAACAAAAAAATCTAGTTTTATGTGCTACGTGAGATTTAAATTCATGATTACAGGGGGCACTTCAAGCTCCAGAGATAAATGTTCACAGTTCTTCACCTTAGAGCTAATTCACTGAAAAATCTGAAAAACACTACCTACTAGTTAACCTTTTTTCTCCAGAAACATATGATCTCATGAATATGAGACTCTTGTGGACATACTTAGATCTTGATGCTTAAAGTGTAGTATATATAAATATAGTTTAGCATGGATAGTTAGTAGTAAATTCTCCAGCTGATAGCCCAGTTGTCAACCACTGCCTTAGAAAATTTTCATGGGCAGGTCCTCATAAACTTTTTAAAAAGGCAATTCAGTCATCTAAAATCATTAACAGAGTATTTTTGAAAAGACACCTATGTGGGTCTTAATGGAAATGTGATTAATCACCCCCAATTTGTTGCAGAGTTTGATTTCCAGATATCTAATCTGGTTTAAATCAGTTTATCTAAAACTTTAATGTGCTTATAAATCACCTGGGAATTTTGTTAAAATGCACACTGATTCAGCAGGTCTGGAATGGAGTCTGAGATTCTGAATTTCTAGCAAGTTCCCTGGTGATGCAGATGTTGCTGGTCCAGGGGTCTGCATTTTGAGCAGCAAATCTTTAAATGGCTCTCTTATAACAGTGCTTACCTGCTTTGAATCTATGTGATCTTAGGCAAGTTGCTTTTCTGAGTATCCTGTTCTTCATCTTTAAGGATGTAAAAATGTGCAAGCTTATTAATGATGGTTAAATGATGATATATACATTTTATTTGTTTGTTTATTTATAAAGTGCCAGTACTGTACCAGCAGTAATATCCAAGGCAGTTTGTAAATCTTTCTTCCCTAAAAACAATTTATGTCAACATACACAACTGAATACTGAATAAAGTGAAGTGCTCTGCTTTTTAAGGCACTTTCAGAAAAATACTTTTATTTATTTGCAATGGCTTGAAATATAGCTTACAATAAAATGAAAATTTTATATATCACAAGTAATTTGAAAAAAATTTTTCTTTACATAATCAGTGAAATGTTTACTAAATAAAGCAGGAGTGCTCTAAATGCTCTGCTCTGAGCCCAAAGTGAGTCTGATGCTGTAACAGGGAGCATCTGGATGGAGTTGTGAAGTAGAGGCAGAGGAACATCCAGTTCTGGACAGCCCTCGCCATAACTCTAACATTTGACGGTATTGCAAGAGAATGTGGTTTGATGATGAAGAAAATGAAAAGAGGAAGGAAAGGTAAAAAGAAAGGACACTTTGAAGCTCTCTACATTTACTGATCTTTCGTCAGGAAGATGAAGAATTATCTTCCTTAGTATACATCTATATTGGGATGGCTTTTCTGAAGGAAACAAGGCAGTTTGGGCTCTGTGAAGACTGCCTCTTCCCATCCTCTCCAGAAAGCTGGCCTTGGGACTCAGAAGAGAATCCCAAATTGACCCTTTCTCATTCCCCAAGAAAAATCCCTGCTTGTAGTACACCTTCTTGAGCCGGCCCAGCATCTTGGGAGGGTTAAACCAGAGATGCTCCTCCTAGGCCGTTCTTCAGCTGCTTGACTTGGCATCTGAGTGTGCCACACCCCATATTTTTAGTCAAATGGCCTTGAGGCTTTATTCTCAGAATAGCTTGCCAAGAGCCCCTTGTTTTTGTACTCCTTCCTTCCTATAACCTTGTTTTAGTTTAGTGCACTCTTTTATTCTGGTGGACTTAGTTATTGCAATAAAAACGTCCCTCAAATAATTCCTCACTGCGATGTCATGCAAATCACAGACCTCATTCAACACCTTAAGTGTTTAAGAAGCTGTGTTTCTTAAAGAGATTAAGAAAGAAAAATAATAATAAACCGTTTAGTCGGACGTATTCTGTGACTGATTACAGTAGATTTGAGGAGGCGGTGGGGGAAGGGAGGGACGCGCGACATGAAGAAAACTGCCCATCTTCTGGCGATTTTATATTCTTCCTGTACAGGCAGAAAAAAACTCAATCTAAGGAAGATTAATCTAAAAGCTTAATCTAAGGAAGATTTCGAATTAGACAAGGAATCATATCAGACTCCACTTATTGTGTGACCTTAGATAAAGTCACCTTACCCGTCTGCACTTTTGTTTATGTGCAAAGTGGGGAATAAAACTATTTCACAAGACTTATCTAAAGATTATGTGAAACATGATACGTTAAATTGCCTTAGTACGTAAGAGCTCATTAAATGCGAGTTAGTGCTTCCCAGAATGTGCCATTTGTTACTCCAAAATTCCGGAAACTTTGTTTTCCACAGGTTAACACCCTCGGTTGTAAAATCATGAGAAGAAGCAACACTTTTATACCTGGGGCTCACTTATTTGCACACACACACAAAAAAAACTGCTTTCAACTTGAGATAGGCAACAAACACTTAACTAGTGGCGGGACCCGCTTTGAAAGCACCCCCACTCAGTTCTCAACCCCAGTGGATTGTGGGAAGTGTAGTCCTGTGCTCCAGTTGCTTGAGTACAGAAAAGCGAGTAGCAAACTACAACTCCCAGGAGGTGAAGAAGCGAGACTATTTCCCAGTCGGGCGGTAGCACTGTGGGAGCGAATTGGCAATCTCGCTGCCTACGTGGGAGAGAAGGGAGGATTGGGGGAAGTGTGGAAAAGCTGAACCCGAGCCGCTGCTGCCTGAGAAAGATTTGGTGGGAGAAGTAGAAGGGAAGAAAGGGGTGGAGGGTGAGGTGAGCAGAGCATCTGGGTCGCTGCTCCTGGGCAGCACAAAGTTCTTCGCAATGTGGCTGAAGCCTGAGGAAGTGCTCCTGAAAAATGCGCTGAAGCTGTGGCTGATGGAGAGGTCCAACGACTACTTCGTGCTGCAACGGCGTCGGGGCTACGGGGAGGAAGGCGGAGGGGGGCTCACAGGTAAGCTGTGCCGGCCACTCCGACCCACCGCGGGGCCGTGTTAGCTGGTACTTAAAAGGTGATGAGGAAAACAGTTACTCGTCGCTACCCGCCGCCGGATCCCAAACCCTGAGCGGAGGGACGGTATACTGCTCCCGCCACCGCCTTTTTCCATTACCCTCCCCGAGTCCTGAGAATGCCTCACGGGACCAGCAGTTGCCCTTTGGGTGGGACAGGGAAAGGAAGAAGGGGTTCTTTCTAGGGCAAAGGAAGAATCAGAGGAAAAGAAGGGGTTCCTTCTGAGGCAAAGTACCTGCCCTGTCTCTTCCCATGGGGGAGGGGGCTGATTACGAATGTTAGACCTCCACAGGTCGCATTTAGGCTGGTGACAGGGGCCAGTTCGTTTTTGTGGACCGAACTTTTTTCACAAATCCACCTATCGATAATCACCACCCCCCAACACACAACCCCTCCCCGGGAATGTAAATGGTGTTGGTGGGGTGTCGGAGATGAGGATGGTGAGGAGAAAGGGAGGAGCCCCAATTACATCCGGAGGGATAGGCTTTGAATGAGAGATTAGATAGTGGGGGAAAGTGGGTGTGGGGAGAGGGCGAAGAATAGGTCTCAGAATTGCTGACCTCTTCCAACTGAGCACCTTTTACTTGGTCGCCAGGTTTTCTAACCTTGAGATTCCCTCTCAAAAGTAACCGACGTAATTTATTTATCTGGAGTGTTTGGCGCTGCCCTTTCTTTTAAAGCCATGATTGTAAGCAAACCAATTAAACAGAAGTTTATTCCAGTCTCATCCACCCTGCCTTCAGCTATTTGATTGACAAGAACGTATTCCTTGATCAAATGTTTAAAGCCTACAAAGAACTTTATTTTGAGACCACTCGTCTTGGGCAGGGGCATTCCAACTTTTGGACACTGGGGAGACCAGAGATCTTTTTCATGACCACTCTGCTTTGGTATTAAGGCCTTGAAGCTGTGGACCAGGCTTAATTTAGGCAGCTGGATGTAGCGGGATGGGGGAAGAGTCCAAAAATTTGTATTTCAGTCCCATTCTTATCTCTTGTTGAGTGACATTCGACAGATTTATTCAACCATAAGCGCCTACTATGTGCCACATGGAATGGTACAGTACAAAGACAATTAAGGTTCAGGTCCCCACCTTTGAATAAGGGGGAAAGGGTTGTGTTGGAAGGAAGTGACCGGTAAACCACGCAAATTATAATTATACCCAGTAACTAGTTAACTAGGCAAATTATAATTAGAACCAAATAACTTAAGGGTTGGGTAAAGATTTATGGAGGTGATGACACTGCTTTTCCTCTTTTGTAAGATGGTGTCTACCTCCCACAGTTAAGACGATAAGATGAAAAATAATAGGTGCCAAATCAACAACGTATGTTGTTAAAATGGTGATAAACATGTGCTATTTCCTTTTTTATTTCCAAGCCACCAGGGTGGAGAGAATTCTGAGGTTCCACAGGCCATTTAAAAAAAGAATCCTGTGAGACCTATTCATCTTACTCAGTAGCTTCTAAAAGGGCCCTTTCTAAAACATGGTAACAAAAATTGCTTTGTTAAACTTGACGTTTTGTCATTTTCTGATTTTTTTAAATTGCAGGTGTTATTTTGCAGAGGAGTCCTTCTGTTTAAAAGATGCATATACTTTCCAGATTAAAAATTGAAAATCAGTGTTCATGATTGCCCAGTGATATAATTCATCCTCTTGAGTCCGTTGAGAACAGGTCAATTATTTAAAATAGATCTTATAGCCTTGTGTTACAGCATATTTTAGTTTCCCAGAATTTTTCTGGTGCTCCTGCACACATTTACTGAGGAAGTATTATTTCACTTTGTACAACTGTTTCTGAAAAATATGTAAATCAGATTCTTGAGATCCAATCACTGTGATGTAGGATTAATTTTTTTTTTTACTTTTTGCAACTTTCCTTTAAATAATCACGTCTTGTTTTCTGTGTTTGGTTTATTATTTGACACTCTTTCTTAAAGCTTGGGCCAATTGCACCAGTTTCTTATCTCTATCCCACCCACTACCAATTACTGTTCCCCATATCTCTATAGTAAGAGATTTGTCTGAAGAAATAAACCAAGATTTCTACCACACGTGTATGTTGAGATCAGATATAGTCCCATTTTTGTGGTCAATTTATATCTCAGCATTAACTTTTACCTGGGGTATTGTCAAAGTGCTTGAAAATTCCACATGAGAGCTGTATGTTATGTAAATTAAACAAAATCTATGAGAAAGAAGCAAAGACATGTTTTTAAGGTTTGTTGGGTTCTTTCTGGTTGAGAGCAAAAGTGTGTGGTGATTTTCAGAGCTGGTCAGTTATTGTATTCTTACTTAAAACTGAAGCCAAAAGCTTTGCTGTGCTTTCCACAAATGGATTAGTTCTCACAGGAGCTTGACTGTATGCCAGCATAAGCTTGCCTTTGTCCACTTTTGTTTTCTGAAATCCAGTGTTACGTGCTACCCCTTTAAGAGATTTGTTTATACATTTTATTTAATGATGAAAAGGTAATAACTATTTAGATATGTTAATAGTTGTACTTCCTTTAAGATTTCATTTCTTTGCCATGTGATAATTAGCAGTAAATACCAGTAATGTAATTTAGCTGTGGACTTGGTGAAGTTAGTTGACTCTTTTTTTTCTAATAATAGAATTGGAGCAAAAGGCAACCCTAAGAAGGTTATAGCAGGAGACTATTTTGTAAGTTAAAATCTGAGGTCCTTGTCTAAATTTCTGAAGCACTTTCAGTGGATATCTAATACGTTATGTCTCATTTGCCTAACGTTATCTTAATTGTCCTGGTTTACAGCTGGGTGGAATATCTTATGGAAATTTTTGTGATACCATAAGATTATTTTGCAGCTGAAGTGATTTTCTTCAATTTAGAGAAGTAATTCACTCTTTTAGAGTTTTGCAGTTACATTCATTATTCCTTGTTCCTCCTGGCTGATAAGGGTAATGACTTTTCTATGGCACCTAAATTTAGCACTTGGTTTAATGTAATTACAAATAATTTATGCATATTTGCTTTATTAAGCATAGATCAGCAGTTTGTTCTGCTTGGCAGAGTGGAGCCACTATATGAGTGGAATTATGGGGTACATTCTATTACGAAGTCTAGTGTATGAGACCTAGGAAGACCTGACAATCTGGAAGCTTTAATTTGGATAGTTTGTTTTGAGTGTTTTAACTCTTGAATCCACATCTGAATAGTGTAAGCAGGACCTTGGGTGTTGGATTGATAATCTCCCTCAGTAGACCTGGTTTTTGTGATGTAGAACAAGATTAAGGAAAAAAACATAGTAAAATGGAAAAGTTTTAGATTCTGTTCCCTTATTTCCTCTTTCATCTTGGCATCATTATTTAGAAATTAAAACATCTGTAAAAATTAGAACATGATAATGTTTGAAATGAGCTGTCCATTTCAAAATGTTTTGTGGTATTTATGTAAACTTATCAAATCTCTGTAAATGATTTGCCATAAACACATACATAAAAAACAATAAGGTAGCCTTTTTAAAAACTTCCTAATGACCATTCCTCAAAGACTTTTCTCTCCTTTTTCCTCACCCCCAAGTAAAGGAGCCCAACTCTGAAAATGTTCTCATTACATTTTTCTTAGTAAAATATCCCTGCATTCCATGCTCACATGATAAAATTTTTAGTCTCCCAGTACCGCATTACTGGGACTGGGGTGCCAAAATGGTGGCCATGATATTTCATCTTAGGTAAGGAATACCAACCCTCCCCCCACACTCCTCTCAGGCACTATAAATTAATAAATATCATTTTGGCTTATTAAAGAGAAAAATCCCATAGGGCAGTCCCTAGGAAGGGCAATTTACATGTGTGCTCCCCTCCCACACTCCCTCCCGGGAATGTTTTGATGCATGTGTGAAATCAATTTAAAAATTACTTTAATAAAGATCTCTGAATTAGAAAAGACAGCTTTGTAGTAGGTTTTGAGAAATGAAGGATGGTCGATGTCACAACTTTTTTTTTTTTGGCAGTAGTGGAAGAATTATTGACTGCATACCTATTAAGCCTTAGGACTTTTTTTAGGCACTTGTTGATAACACTGCGCTTGCTTCTCCCTCTCCCTCTCCCTCTCCCTCTCCCTCCTTCCCTCTCCCTCTCCCTCCTTCCCTCCTTCCCTCTCCCTCCTTCCCTCTCCCTCCTTCCCTCCCCCTCCTTCCCTCTCCCTCTCCCTCCTTCCCTCTCCCTCTCCCTCTCCCTCCTTCCCTCTCCCTCCTTCCCTCTCCCTCTCCCTCTCCCTCCTTCCCTCTCCCTCTCCCTCTCCTTTCTACTTCCCTCTCCCTCTCCCTCTCCCTCTCCCTCCCCGTTTATGGTTTATAATCAGAATGATGTACAGTATTAGAATAAAATATCAAAACACCATTTCTTTTTTATCTACAATTGCCTAAAACCTAGAAGTTCTCAAGCAGTGTTTCTACAGATATAAGCATCACTTGCTGTCTTACTGAGTGCTGTGGAAGATTACATATAACTTGTTATCTTAGTTATATGAATGAGGGGTATTTGAAACCCCCAAAGCAATTTTCCAAGGTCAGCTCTGGTATAAAGTATACTTATCAAGATGTCCTGTTAAATGATACAAAGATTTCATCAAAGTAGTGATTAATAACAATAGGTGGTATTCTGGTGGCAGAATTCCAGTGTGACATCTGTGGAGCATCTTGTCAAAAAAAACTAGTTTGGATTGCTTTTGAATTAAATCAGCCATCTATGTGCACTAATAATATCTGGGATGTGGTTTGGTAGAAGTGGGGAGGACATTCTAAGTGGGAGGAATAATATGACAGTGCAAAAGCAAAAGATGGCAGTTGTTGGGAACACAGCAAGTATTCCAGATTCATTTATGAAAATATGAGACTCAAGCTATAGTGGCCTTAGCACCTAGAAAAGGTTCCTGAAGAGCAATATCCTCATCTACAGAAAAGGAAAACATAAGATGGAGAA